TGTGTGTGGAGAGAGAGCAGCTAGCACCTCTCCCCACCCGAGGCTGAAGGTCAACAGACGATCATGCTAAGCTTGCTAACTGTTCCACCCTCTGACTGCTGCAGGGGCGTGTCTTAGGTTTTTATATGAGAGCACAGCCGCTGTGACGAAACCGTGGAGAAGACACGTCACCGTGGAGAGCTGTTAACCAATATGCAAATTAGCCTGCAGTACCACTGCTCTACCCATATGAGCAGCAAAAACACGTTTTTTACACCAAATATTACAGATTTGGACAAACACACACAAAAACATCAAAATCAGCACTGAAACAGTACTATATAACATTTTAGACACATTCTAGGCAGTTTATCAGCTAAAAAAAGTTAATTTTGGGGTAAGTTACTCTTTAAATAAAACAATTATAGTTTTCTGTAAAGCTCCGTTAACAACCAGCTTCTTCTGTTAAAGTCTTTATTCTGTTCACCTACTTTTTAACACGTGGGATCTGAACCCTGACCTCTGCCCTCTTGACAGATGTCATTCGGACCATCCGAGACCCGGAGAAGCCCAACACCCTGGAGGAGCTGGACGTGGTGACGGAGAAATGTGTGGAGGTCCAGGAGCTCAAAGAGGACGAATACCTGATTATAATCAAGTTCTCTCCCACCGTCCCTCACTGCTCTTTGGCTACTCTGATTGGTGAGTCCCCTCAGCCCACTGCAGCAGGTCCAGCTTCTGAACCAGGACTTCTGTTTAAATCTTGGATGCACTCTATGTGTATATGTGTTAGCTCTGTTAGCTTGTAGATAGAGATTTCAGGTGACTGTAATTAAACGGGTCACATTAATGTGAATTTTCTGCTCTGTGTTTATAAAGTCCTTCCTGCAGCAGCTACGTCTGATCTGACAGCCATGTTTTGTGTTTTTCAGGTCTGTGCTTACAGGTGAAGCTGCAGCGCTGTTTGCCTTTTAAACATAAGGTGAGAATGTTGCCACCATGCCATGGCAGCTATGTTTGACACTCAGCTGGTATTTAACATTTTTATTCTAAAACTGGATCACAGTGAGAATCATTTCACGTTTTCACACTTTGGTAAATGAAAAACTAAACTTTAAAACTGTAAATGCAGTTAAGTCAGTGGTTCTGGAGCTCTGGTCTTTCTGGGTTTTATGAACTAACTGCACTTTAGGATGTAATTAAAATAACGCATCACAAGTTTTCAAATTAAATCCACTTTATTTGCATGCTTTAAACAACCGAAGTGTTGTACACAAAAACAACAAAACTATAAAACTTTAATTGAACAAAAACAATCCAATCAAATAAAAACTAAAAAATAAACTCAGGATCTCACAGAAATACTTTTTGTTTCTGACCTTGACGGGCTCAGAACTGATCAGTCACCGCTGTTTTATCTCTGCGTTCTGCTGCCTGTGTGGGGTCCCTGTAGCTCAGGTGGTCCTACATCCAGGATTGAGTTGGACTACCCAACATATGTGGCCCAACGTGGACGAAGACCAGCCTCTCCTGGACCTTTATCACATGTGATGTCAGGGTCACTTAAGGTCATATCAAGGATCACGGAACAATGAGTCGACTTGTTGGAAACAGGAAGCAGACAGGCTGTCTTCCAGATGACCAGGGCTCTCTCTGTACTCAGACCCAGGTTGTGGAGGGGCTGAAGGACAGGACACCATAAGGACCTACAGTCTGCAGCTGGTGGGCTCCCTGCTGTCTCCTGACCGGACCTGTAGAGACCCTCATTCAGGTGGAAGAATTGAGTTCCACTATGAGGGGAAGGAGGGCTCTGTTACTTTAATCTTCACCTCCTAACATGTGTCAAGCTGAAATTTAAATTTGTCTTTAGATTTTTTTTTATTTCTTGCAGAAAAAGGAGAGTAACAAATATTAACCTATTTTTCTGTTTCCCTGAAGTTGGAGATCTACATTTCTGAAGGAACCCACTCTACTGAAGAAGACAGTATGTATAACTTTATATATAGTTTAGTTATTGACTGTAAAACTAAAACCATTACTTACTGAGAGGTAAAGAGGGTATTTTTAAAGACAAAAACCTGAGTGCAGTTGCACACTGTTCTTATTAAATCACAATGTACTGATGTTATGCTAAATATTTGCATTTTAGCTTTAGCTTCTGACAATTGTATGATTATTTGGCTTTTTATCATTAGCGGAACTATAAGAGATGTTAGTGAAATTTATTAAGTTGTGCTCACCATTGACTCTAGTTAATTAACAGGTTGTTTATAACCGTGGTTATTAAAATGATTGTTTATAACTCCCGTTAATAGATTGTTTAAAATTCCTGTTAATAAATAAGTTGTTAATAACTCCTGTTAATTAACTGGTTGTTTGTTACTCCTGGTAATGAACAAGTTGTTTATAACTCCTGTTAATTAACAGGCTGTTTATAACTCCCATTAATTAACAAGTTGTCTGTAATTCCTGTTAATAAACTGGTTGTAACCGTTATAACTCCGGTAATAAACAGGTTGTTTATAACTCCTTTTAATCAACAGTTATTTATAACTGTGGTTATTAAACAGGCTGTTTGCAACTCCCATTAAGTAACAAGTTGTCTGTAACTCCTGTTAATAAACTGGTTATAACCATTATGATTCCGGTAATAAACTAGTTGTTTATAACTCCTGTTAATTAACAGGTTGCTAATAACTGTGGTTAATAAACTAGTTGTTTATAACTCCTGTTAATTAACAGG